ATGTTTTCTTATTAAGAATTTTTCTTTATGCAGAATCAAAAATGTATTTTTATTTGTGGACTTATAGTCATAATGTTAACAATTGATATATTGGGTGATTTTCATCAAGACAGAAAGTCAGTAAAGGATATATTTTCGAATATGTGTCATTGACTTCTGGGAGGCGGGGCTGTTGCCCCATGAGCCTCCCCACCCCTCGTTGGGTGCGTCACTGATTATAATTATTAAAATATAGGGTTTACTGGGTAGTCTGTTAATGTTACTCATAATGAACCAAATAATTTTATTTTTATATTTTGGTGAAGAATTAGTGTATATATTGAAATTTAAATACTACAAAAATCCACAACTGTAATTTCTTGATGATCTTGATGATCTCCTATTCACCTTGATCACTAATGATTTCTCCAAACCTATGTTACAGGAGATGTATTAGAGCCTCCCCAAATGGTAACCTTACTAGACAAAAGACTCCATAAGTCGTGTCAGCTCCTCTTCAGTAAGTGAAGGATCACTGGGCTTGAAGCTGATCACCTGGAATTTTCATTCAGTGACATTCACATCTCGAGAGGTTTACATCACGGGCATGTGGCTGCAGCAGTGGAAAAAGTGTGGTAGGTAGCCATTAGTTGTAAGTAATTGTCATAGATTGTCTGTTCTGCTTGAACAGAAAAAGGTGTTGAATCCTGGGTCTTGAAAAAAATACAATTATATTTAGAGTTTTAGCATAGAAAAAAATGTAAAAACTTTGTAAATAAATATTACATTAATTGTAATTATTGAAAAATAGTGAGTCATTAGTGACCACAGCACTAGTGAGCCAGTGTGACTTTTTCAAGAAAACACTTGAAAGTTTTTCATATTTTGTATTTTTAGACAATAAGGCAAGTAGATAAAGTAATAATACATTATGTGATCAAAAGTGTCCACACACATGGTTAAAAATGACACCAGTTTGTGGCACCCTCCATCGGTAATGCTGGAATTCAATAGGATGTTAGCCCACCCTTAGCCTTGATGTCAGCTTCCACTCTCACAGGCATGTGAGAAGGGATGGCATCAGGTGCAGGAAGGTTTCTTGGGGAATGGCAGCTCATTCTTTACAAAGTGCTGCACTGAGGAGAGGTATCGATGTAGGTCGGTGAGGCGTGGCACAAAATCAGTGTTCCAAAACATCCCAAAGGTGTTTGATAGGATTCAAGTCAGGACTCTGTGCTGGCCAGTCCATTACAGGGATGTTATTGTCATGTAACCATTCCGCCTGACTGTGCAGTATGAACAGGTGCTCGATCATGTTGAAAGATGCAATTGCCATCACCCCAATTGCTCTTCAACAGTGAGAAATAAGGTGTTTAAAACATCAACTTAGGCCTTTGCTGTGATAGTGCCACACAAAACAATAAGAGGTGCAAGCCCCCTCCATGAAAATATGACCACTCCATGAAATGTCTTCGGGCGTCCTCCTCCGGGTTGCAATTCAATCATCTCTTCATTAATTTACCATGTGATTCTGTCACTGTGTGTGTTTTTTTCTTTAATCGCATTTTGCAAATTTTTCGGTATGATTTGCCCTTAGCGTGATGGTAAATAACCAGCTGGTGATGTTCTTTCCTCTGCGTCTCATTTCGTTTAAATGTTAAGGTTCCCATGAATCAGATTCATCGACTGACTGGTGTCCTTGAATGTGCAGCAAGGGTTGAAGATTTCAATGTTCCTTTCGGAGATCAAAAAATCCATTACCACGTTATCCCAACGGCTGTCCGAATAGTTTTGTTGAAAGGTCTCTGCATCGATGATTTATTTTTCTTTTAATCAAACAAATACATATTTTTGAAAGTATTTAAAGTGTTTATTTGTATAAGAACATTCTATTATTTCACATATCAGCGCTGGTTATGTGGTTTTCTGAGAAAATGTAAGCAATATTTGGTTAAATTAATAGTTTTGTGAGTCACTGTATAAACATCCTACTGAATGTAAGTCGGCAGTCATGCCGATCTCTGTTTCCCCTGTGACTTGTTTGCTTCGCGGTACCCGGTTGATTGATTAGTTCGTGTTTCGGGGCGCATCAACGGATATGGTAGTTTGTCCCGTAAGTGTAGTGTATTTATCACGCGAGGTAGCTGTGTTATTCCCTAACTGGATGGATAGCTGACCGGGGAGAAACCACAGAAAACCGTCGATCAGAGCAGACGGCCGCAGAATTCTCCTCCCGTCAGCGATTGAATTCGGCCTAGTTATCTAACTAGTCGAAAATCCTGCTATGGTCGTCAATAGTAGGAAATGGTCAAAGGCAATGAAGGGAGATCAGTTGATGCCCTGAGCCACTTCAATCGGTATGATGCCCGATGGTTTATTCCGTGCCGTACGCGTACTGCAAACAACTTTCCAGTCAATAAACAGAGTAAAGAAGCAGTGGTTTCCATGCATAATGGCTGGAAAACACTGTACGAAGCTCGTTCTTGCCTATATGAGCGCTATTCGTATTGATTTCTATGGAAATGCCAAACGACAATTGCCAATTACTACCTATTTGTACAGGGTCATAATACTATTGGATGAGTCTGCAATTTCCTCTGCCAATCCATTTGAAGACCGAATAATTATGTTTGAGAAAATCCGAAAGAATGTTGGGGGAAAAATTGTTTCTTTTGTCGTATGTCCGGTATGTAGGGCACGGAGATTTTATCCGGCTTTGAATTTATGACTTGGTCTTCATTTGTTGATGATTTAAAACTGTTTCCCCTCTACATTTGGAATGTTTTTATGATATTCCAAACAGAAAGGGTTATTTCATTTGTTTTGCAATATAGAATTCTCTTAGAAGAACATCTCACACCGAGAGACTGTGTGGTGCTACGCCATCACGCAGCGCCCATTTTACGAGTACATGGGGGTTTTGAGCGCGCAGAGGTAGACGATTCCACTTGATTCGCATCCCTCTTGCAACGAGTACGACCCTTCCGATTGGGGTCAGAATGAACGCCTGAAAGCAACGTTGCAAGTATCAAAAACTCCTGGGACCTTCGGCATAGGAATCTATACTGCTTTATACGTTGTGAAGGCACAATGTGCCTATGGAAAATCCGCGTGTTGTTGCCGACACAACTCGATCGCTTGACCGCTCGCTCCAGAATCGTCAAAATCACGGCTACCTTTCTCAATATATGCATCTACAGAAACAAATGTTTATTTGCTCACATTATTATTATTGTTATTATTATTGTTGTTATTTTTATTAGCGTAAATATTTAATATACCGCATTTTACATGTATTATCTTTTAAAATAAAATAAAACAAATTGTTGATTGTGCCGTGAAATATTTACGCAATTAACAAAATACTATGATCAACATTTTTCCTTATTACACACTTTCATTATCTCCATCTCCTCCTTATTCACCATCTTTCATTACACACATGATAGTTGTAACCACATTTTAAAGTAGAAACGCATGAAACATTGGAATTTGAGACGTACACATTTGTGTATGTGCAAAATCGTTGTACTCGTTTCCCTACTGATTCTGTACTTTAGTTCAGTTAACTTTATTTTTCTCGGGATCGGTTTTTCTTCATTCTCATTTTCCTTTTTAATTCTAAAGAAAGAGTGTTTGCTGATGCATGTTGCTCTACAAAATTCATTCATACGATTTACTCAGTTTCTGGATGTTTTCATTTAAAGTCCTTGAATACTTTTAACATGTTTTTTTACCACGTTTAATTATTTCACTCTTTTCCCTACTATCCATTATGATCTCTTAAAATTAACACACTACACGTTTGACTAAATTACATACCTACTTTTCTTTACCACTGCACATCCACCAGCAAAATCGACCAACTAGAATACCTAGAAAGATGAAATTCTCGAAAGGGCTTCTCATTCGAATATTGATTTGGATGGTCCAGTCTACTGATGATATAATATAAACAAACACTTCTTTTCAGTCCTTCGGGTCACACATCCTGCATCTGAGCCTTGTCTTTTCGGCGCAGCTCCCGTCGAGCCTCACGTCGTCGTCTCACGTCGCGCGCTGCTCGTCTTCAAAACAAACGGAAATACACAGAAATATTGTGTTCTAAGACCTTCGGGTGGTGATAGAAACTATTTTCAGCATTATTTCAGCATAAGATCTCAGAGCGGTAAAAGTACGTTGTTTAATACTGTTTGAGATCTCCAAGAATTTCAACCATTATCCCATTCAGGATTATTGAATATCCCGACGCAAGAATAACTGCAATATTTACGTAGGATATACCTGAATAACACACAATTTACGTAGGTCAAGGATGTGGGAATCGGATCTGAAGTGGGTTGTGGGATAATCTGAAGTGGGATAACAATTTCTTATATTTGAATCAGATATGAAGTGGGATAAATATCTTATAAAAGGATTTATCATGGGATGAAATCTAAATATGCTTTCGCTGTTTCTCCGTCTCTCCGCGTCGCGCGCCGTGAGGAAGACGTCTCCGTCGAAGCGTCTGCACAGCCAGCCCGATTCCGTTGTTGACGCCCGTCACCTGCAAACGCCCTGCTCGCACCTGTCTCCCACCACGCTCCTATGATTTCTAGTGTCCAGTAGGAGGCAGGAAATTTTTTTAAACACATCGTGCGCGAAATACGTTTTCTCGTGCTTGTTCTCCGTGTGCGAAACAGCTATTTTACCTTTGTCGTCTTACTAAGTTTGTAGTAAAGATAAAATATTGTAATTGTGCGGTGAAAATCGACGATTTTTCAACAGAACAATTCTTATTGTCGGGCTCCGGAAAACAAATGTTGATAAATTTTGTTCCTAAACGTAGTACATAAATTCCTCTAACTCGTAGTGTAGTGAGAATCCTTGTTTCGAGGGTCCTTAAAATCGAAAAATCTAATGAACACAAAAAGGCCGGTTGTCTGTCGCTCAACACTAGCCCCTAACCGGTTCAGATGAATTTCTCTAAAATTGAATTCTCCGAACGAACGCGAGGCCGAACGAGTTTGAAACGGATACTTGGATTTTTGGGGGGTTCTTAACATAAAGCCTCAACATTTTCAAAATTTTCTCAAAAATGGCTCCCAATTTTGTGATTAAACTTTGCGTGGCGTAAAGGAGGTTTAAGAGAATGGCGCACGACTCAATTTCGTTGAAATCAATTACTTTTCGAAAATTGCAAAAGCTCAAAATATCATCGCCTATGCTTTAGCATTTTGATTCCCAGGTAGCAACGCGGAATATTCGTAAATGACCAGGCCCGCAATACACCCGCACTATACATTCTCTCGCATCAGATTTGCAGTTAATGCAGGAAAATTGGGATGTAATCGTGACTCACGAGAACTATCGACACAAATATGCGTATTACACATGCTAAAACCGGCTCGAGCCTAGCTCCGAGGTCCACAGAGGTAAATGTGATTTGAACTCTTCGGGCGCTAGTCCGTCACTGTGTCCTCGAGTGCGGGGAAGACGCCACGAGATACCATCGCATCGTCCCCTAACATTTGAAGCGTTATCGCCGTCGTCCTGGCTCACCTTCGGCGTTACCTGCATGACGCTGCCACAAATTGTTGGTGCATCTTCGGAGTTTAGAGCAATGACCTTCTTCGCGTTTTCAACTCTTTTGTGACCAGTGTCCAAAATGCCAGGACCAACGAATCTTGTGTTTGAAGGAAAGACTTTTGTTGGGCATTTGTGGAAAATGTGTACTAATGACAGCTCCGCTTCATCTGGCTTCATTGCCCTCAGCCTGTCCGTCAACTCCGCTCTGCCTTCAACCCCTGCTTTGCCCCTGTCCTTAGGAACTCATTTTTAACTTTGATCATTTGCATTCCAACCCAACATTTGGATTCCCGAGGAGTTAGTTGTGGCGTGTAGCCACATTGTAGGAAATTTGGATTTCTATAACTTCTTTCTGAAGCCCGCTCCTCCTTTTCTGAAGCTCCAGAAGACGTAAAATTCACTTTGGTGAGTCATCGGTTTAGCCTTTCCCTAGATTAGTCGAGTCAAACCGACTATTGTAAAAACAATAGGTTTATAAATCTTCCTCTTCCCTGTTTTTAACAGTGTAAAGCAGCAAGAGAAAAAGCCTAAAGAAAATGAGTAACTGATAACTTGAATTTTTCACAATTATGCACCTGAGAATTACACTAACTGAACTTCCAAATGTCTGGATTCATTTTGGATTCAGTTCATTTCATTAAAACCACTTCTGCGTGATCATTTCCACTCCCACTAGTTGAGAGCATCGAGAGATAGCTCAGAGTGTGTTTGCCTTTCAAGGAAGTTCCTTGATAAGAGATTTTTCCTCTCACAATGCAGTATGTCTCTTCATCTTGTTCAAGTGAATGTCTGGGAGAAATTGAAATAAATTAAAGTTGTAACATCAATTTTGCATTTGCTTATGATAATAAATTTAAGAAAATATTTGGAATATAAGATATGAAAGTGCAGATTCTTTAAATGCTTAGGAGTTGGTGCTTGCATTAGATAAATTACATAACAAATGAATAAAGTGCAAGACATGCATTTAAGATATGTTACAGGACCCTAAATCATTAAAACTCCCTCTTCAATATGTTGTATTTTATTGTCATGAATTAATGTGAAAATTTCTCGAAAAGTGTATCAAAAGATAACATTACAAAAGAGACATATAACTCCTTATAAATATTTAATTAGTATGGAAATTGGTTTTTAAAAACAAGACACCCAATAATTTATACATTCATATTTGTTTCTTAAAGAGGTAATGGTTTTCATATCTTTAAATATGTCTTATCATAAAAAAATAATATTAAAATGCCTTGATAATTAATCAGATCCACAGTTTGTTGATTAGACATAAGCATTTAGTTTAAGACTTATTGCTCTGTGGAGGGGGGATGGTGCTACCAGTCCAGTCAACAATCTGCTTGTCCCACCAGATGTAGGCCCCACGAGGGGCACTTACATTGGGCGGAAGCAGAGCACAAAACAGGGGAGCTTCTGCACCTGTAAAAAAATGAATATGTTGAGAACTTGTACGACAAGAATATGATATAAAATAAAATATGTATTTATCAATTGTCGCTTTGTGGAATTTCTTTCACTGACTGAATAATGCAGTTTGCAAAATTTGCTTCCTTTCCCATGTTACAAGAAGTCTTCTTGTGAGTAATTAATGTATGTAAAAAATGTGTAATTACAAAAAAAAATATTTCTTGTCGAAGGCAACAAACAACATTGTTTGTAACGTAGGGGAATAAGTGTAAAAAATTAAATGTACGATTACTTAAAATCTGAAGGAAAGATCTATTGAAGAATTAATGTTTTCTATCAATTTAGAAGAAAATATTTATGAAATGAATTTAGAGTAAATGAAGCACCTTCATCTCTACCACTTACCCTACACTACTCAGACTTACAAACAATAAGAACAGAATTGTTGCACTAATGATACCAATGCCTAATTCTCAAAATTTGACTTCTCAAAAATATGTAATATGATAGAACTAAAATATGTAATTTTGTGTCATAAAATCAGAAAGACTAAATATGATAACTGCATTGAGCAACTTATTGCAAATTTCAGAAATGTAAAATTTTGATTAGAAGCTTTGATGATAAAAGAATCTCTCTTGTGTCAAGAGATATTTTAATAGACAATGACATTATTTATAGGTTTGTTCATTTCAGTAAGGAAATTATGATAATAACAACTGTAGTTGCAAGATGATGAATCTGAGATGTGTTATTAATATGTAGTAAATTATTTTGGCTACATACTTTAAAATGACAATTTATCAATTTTCTAACATTAGCTTACCTTGTTCAGGAGTTAGTGGTCCTGAATGACTTGACATATCAGTTCTAACCCACCCTGGGTGCACTGCATTAACAACTATGTCTTGTTGAGGATCCTTGTCAAATTCCCTTTGTTGGATGAAAGTTAAGGCACTAACTCCATTTTTTGAAACTTCATATGCACTGTCTGACCAACCTTTCTTGAAATGGGTACCTTCTTCAGCTGCCCTGAAATTAATTTTTGAAATCAACTAATAAATTGCAGATGATGGATTAAATAAAAAAAAATTAAAGTAATTAAATAATTTTAAATTACAAATTTGTTTGCAAATATCAAATTCAAATTTATGGAATTAAGTACTGTATTGTTTTATTTATAAAAGTCATATAAGCAAATTAGGGATATTAGTAAACGTTTCTAGACTGATAGTTCGTGATCCAATTGGCATTGAAAGGCCGAATATGTCGTCCATTGCCGTCCTAGCTTCGCCCTGCACTTCGCCCAAGTACGTACTGCCACTGAAGGTCCTCGCCGCAGCTGCGTATAGAATGTTTTGCCTTTCAATGCCAAATGGACCACCGCCTATCAGCCCGGAAACTTTTATTAATATTGACTCCGGTCGCGATGCTATATAAATCAGGGATAATTTAATAGTTGTCTACACAAATACTGATGAGCATTATACAATATATTTCATAATAATATTAAATGTAACATTAATCTGACTAGGAATACAAATCATAATAGTAAAGTACATGTATCCATTTCTGCCTGACTCTCCCATTGACAACGGCATTGTCTTTCACTGTAAACCAAGAGCCAATATTCCTTTCCACGAATCCATGGTTGCTTGCCCTCCATTCGGAGATAGGAAGAAAATAAATTTCAATATAATATACTTAGAAAAATATATTATAAAATTGAAAAAAATGTATGGATTTAAAAACATTCAAATAATTCAATTTATTAAATTAACGGTTTTGTATAATTGATAAAAAACTATTAACATAAAACCCATAAATGTACTACTTCTGGACAGTGGAACCCCATCCTACATACAGGGCCGTTTTTAGAACCCCTGGCGAAAATGAGGCCCCCTATGCATTTATACACACACATACATATTTTTAATTCAGTGATAAAAAATATAAATTATATCTGCATTATTAAAAAAAAAAAAAAAAAAAAAAAATGTATCATTATCTGTGTAACAGGTGACTTTTATGCCCTGCGAACACTGCTTGAAGTTGTAGTTGTCTTACCTGACAAATGACTGAATGAGTTCTGTGAGAGCCTCTTCAGTCAGTGATGGTGAGCTGAGCTGAGCTCGAATCTGCTCACCTGGGATCCTGCTCAAGTGACCTGAGCTGCTTGAAAGGTTTACAACACGAGCATGAGGTCGCAGAAGGGGAAACAGAGCACGACAAGTGGCTGCAAGTCGGGTGTAGTTGGTGTAAATGGTCTCTTTTGCTTGCACTGCAAAGGGGGTTGAATCGTTGATCTAGGGGAAAACGAAAGAATTATAGGTTCAAACATCAATCAAAGAATTCAATCTAACTAAAAATTAAGTTAATAAGTATTATAACAATTTGGAAATTTGGCTTTTTCTGTCCCTTAAAATAGATGGCCTTCTCTTTCATTGTTTTTAAAAGTCAAGCATAAGTTTTGACATATTTTCTTTAGTAAGCTCGATAGGCCTTTCTTATGCAATTCTCTAACTCATGAAATATTCACATGTGGTGAATGTATGTGGTCAATTGGAGTGAAAATTTATAGTATTCAAAAGTTGCAAACCATGCTCATCGGCACCTTTATTTGTAATTCAAGAGATTTCTTCACTCTGGAGTTCAAGAAAATCTATGTATATTATACTTGGCCCCACAGATCACATGCAGTTTATACGGTTTTTGATTACAGAAAAATAAAATTGAATTAAATGTCAGGAATAATTCTACTTCTCCATTATTCTCTAATTTTAACTCATCTGTTCATTCCCATTATTTTCTGCTCTGTTGAACTAGGTAGCTAAGGTATAAAGAGCTTGAACTGACTCAGTCACCTCCGTGCAAAAGATTACATTGCATTTTTGGACGACACTAGCTTCAAGTATTTTGTGTACTTGAATTTATGCTTTTATTACAAAGGAGACGGGAGTGTATGTTGTAACAAACTTATTATTTGTTACTGAATATATCCACTTTTACTTATCGAGATCACAGAAATTCTGCCTTAATCTTTAATGAGCTTAAAATTCCCGAATAAAATAAACTTATTACTCACCTTGAATGCTATAGCTGCATTGTTAACTAATACATCTAATCCATTGTAATTTTCTTCGAGATATTTTTTGAAGACATTTAAACTTTCATCACTGCATATATCAAGTTGATGAAATTTTACATTCAGACCTAGCTGTTGAATGTTACAAAATTATATTAAGCGTCTTATGTCACAGGATTTAAACATACAAGCAAATATGATAGATAAACAGGTATTGAACAAATTATGAATTCAAAAGATAATCATGCTAGCCTACCTATATTTTTAAACCTACATTTTTTATACAAGGCATACTTATGTACTAAAATAGCACGTCATGTTGAAGAACATATCATGAGCATTTAATTTAAAACGGCCAACTATCTCGTTGTGAAAGAGTTTAACAGAAGTTGAAAAGGGGAAATTCAAATAGCGCCCGGAGTATAGGCAACCCACCGCACACGCATGTCTTGCACATCGGTTTCTTTATAAGAGCGATCGTATCTCATTAGTTAAAATAATGATAACCAGAAATATGACTCAACAGTGAGTGATGTAAACAAGTTGTAATTTGGTTTAATAATGAATTAAACTTAGTTTCTTCTGTTTGAACTCGTCTTTAAAATGTAGTATGTGATATTGTGGTGTGACATCTCAGTTTATGGGAAATTTCAATGAATTCATTTGTAACTGGCACCTAAAACTAGAGATTTGGTCCCTGTTAGGAGCGGAATATTATTGGAAATTCCGATAATGTGTGATTTTGGGTTATTCACATTTGATTTACATACTAATATAATTTTTAATAAAAAATGTTTTCCGAAATAATATATTTATCGAAATATTTTCATTAGTTTTATTATTTATTGTTAAAACTTTTGTATTCTTAATTGTCATATTTCTTTGTTTTTATTTAAAGCACGTCGTGTGTCTTTTTCGCATAAACATGGGTTGAAGAATCTTCAGCGGAACCATTATACAGAAAAGCTAGCTCAAACATTCTCGTAGTTTATGCACGAAGGCAATTCCGTCGTCCGTTTGCTCCGTGGCCCGTTTGTTACGGTACTATTCCGCCATTCGCCTGGTATTGACCGGAGAAACCACGAACAACTATCGATCAGAGCAGCCGGCCGCTAAAGGATTCTTCTCCGGGCAGCGATTGAACTCAACCTAGCTATCTAGCAAGCGTCGAAAATCACACCGCCACAGACGGGACTCAAACCCGTCGGGACTTTCTGGTCTGAGTAGATGCAGATAGCGGCAATGCTCCTCTGAATCAGGCAATAAGAAAATTAAAGTTTTCAAGTTTTTTTCCTTCTTATTTTTTTCTCTTTAAATTCGTGTTTTGACATATCAGTAATAGAACCTTGGGAACTTCCGTAGTACCTGTCGCAGCTGCTCCACCGCCGCCTCTCCGCGCGCCGCGTCGCGCGCCGTGAGGAAGACGTCTCCGTCGAAGCGCCTGCACAGCCCCCGCACGACGGCCAGCCCGATGCCCTTGTTGCCGCCCGTCACCTGCAAACGCCCCGCGCTCATCGCCTTCCTGCCATGCACCTGCGGTTTCTTGTAACCAGCGCGCTTTTTCTCCTTCTCGTATACGTAGTAAAAAGAAAGGATTGTAATACAAAAAATCGGTGTCGAGATTTCAACGGAAATACACACTTTGGGACCTCTGATACTGAAACAGTGTTTTTTGTTCCTTTTTTTTTCTTTCCAAAGGTTTTGTCTTTTGGTTTATCTGTGGGACAACTTTGCAGCTAAAAGCAATCACAAGAAATTCTCCACAATACTCGTACATACTGCGCGATCGTCCTGGCTGCATTTGAAGCGCAGCAAACTTGAAACGGATCTTGTAAATAATAACTTTACTTGAAACCTCAACGATATTTTCATTGATGAGGGGGGGGGATTTCGAATACATTACTAACTTTCACAACAAAACCGGGGGGTTGAAATTGATAACTTTTTGCCAATGAGAATATAGTAGAAAATTGCGTAAATCGGAGGAAGATATGCCAATTACCTATGATTTTCAGATAGCCTCATAATCACATAGTGTATTTGGCAGGTACATGAATTCGTCTTGAGTTAATCAGAATGTGACCTTCCGAACATCTGTGCGTAAGAAGTGCAGAGTAGTGATGCAATATCGATAACAAATGTTTAATGTTAAAAATTAAAATATTTGTGTTAATAATATATCGACCAAAAATGTGTTCATTTTTAAACATTTAAAACTAATTTAGTAACCACTAAAATTAAAATCATGTACTACAAAATTTAATTTGACAATGGCAGTGTTTAGAAATTTATTTGAAGGTATTTTTGTCAACCAATTTTGACGCCAAATTCAAATAGAAAAAATTGAAATTGATTTTCAACATGATAACATTGGCGTACTGTCTCAATTTCCTCCTTTATTTTATAACATTCTATAACTTTTTTCAGATTTTTAAACTATGTGGACAATAGTGAAAAACAATTAAAACGAAATTTATCGTGACCATATGAGCATCGCGATTATCGATTTGATTTGGGGGCACTTTTTCACCGCCTTATACGGCTACAGCCTTTCTCGGAATCTACAGCTCGTTCCACTTAGGCATTTGTATACGACAGCAACGGGACGAATGGTCATGCTAAATTTTGAGATGTAAAGAAGGGTTGTCGTATTTTAATGTATACACTCATTTCAAGCAAATTTAGAACAAAGAGGTGCTATTAATTTAGTGTCGTAAGAGGCGTTCAAACGAAACCAGGGGGCTGAGACAATTGATCCAAGGGGGCCTCTAATTTCAAACAATATTCGTCCTCCTCCAATTAATTAACAGAATATATTTCTTCATGCATCAGATGTAACTTATACCGATAAACTTGGAGTAGAGGTAAATATATTTCATTTGTTTTAAATGAAAACAAATTCATGGCCTCAATTAAGTGCGGCCTGGGGCAAGTTGCACCAGCTGCCCCCCCCCCCTCTAGACGCTCCTGAGTTTCGTCATGCCTTAGAAAGCCTACTGGATGTCATTTTGAAGGCACCGGATGCATTGCGTAGCAACAGCTTTCCGTTTCTCCCTTTCTTCAAATCAGAAACAAAGTTAGATCACGGACTTGCTAATTTGAGAATTCGTGTTAAACGAGTGATAGAGAGACTTAAATTTTATATTTCAAAATATTTTTGACGCATAATATAAAACAATAATATTGAAATTGTTGTGAATTACAAATTAGGATTACTAAGGGAATAACACCGTTTTCAATATAATATGCACATTATCAAGCAATGATGTACAGAATAAGAAAGAAAAGTTGCATTCATATTTGGGTGGGTCTTAATTCCCGAATTGAAATTTTTCTTTTCCAAATCTTCTGAAAGCATTAATGTAACACCAATTCATGACCATTTTGTAACCAAATGCCTTAATTTTCATCGTTTTCAAGCTCAGAAAAATACAACGCTATTTACAACACATAAATGACTGACACAGTTGAGAATATTTTCGTAACATATTTGTCTGTTACGTCTTGCACTATTATTAAATAACTGATATAGTTGTTTATATTGTCGAAAGCATATCCGTCTGTTACGTCTGTGAAATGATTAAAAAAACAAACTACTAATCCCGTACGCTTTTTCAAAATCCACCAAAACTGTCAAACCTCAGCAGTGTACTCACCACTGCCACCTTTCGAGACATCGTTCGTACAGATGACAGCCGATTGGGAAGAGCGCTACTACTTCACTGCAGCAACAGATGCTCTCTCCCAGGAGGCCTTGAAGCCTTGCTAGTCACTGATCGGGGCGGGGGCAGGGGCGGGCAGGGCGCGTCATAGAAGTCGCCGGCCGAGGCAGTTTCCATCGGGGCCGTCCATAAATTACGTAACGCAAATTTGGAACATTTTGAATACCCCTTATCAGGGCCGGATTTACCTACAAGCAAAACAAGCATTTGCTTGGGAGCCCCCATTCACCAGGGACCCCGCGTTTCGGAAAAATATGCATGCCATATTTTTTTTCTGTGAAATAATTGTTAATCAAGTAGTCTATTGTGTAACAAAATGTACAATTTCAAAACATTTTTAAAAAATGAGTATGGAGCATGATAAGCTGATAAATATTCGTTTTGAAGACATTATTGACCAATTTTCTGCAGTGAAGAGCAGAAAAAAATTATGTAAAATGTATTTAATGTAAAAAAATGTTACACAAGAAAAAATTTCTATAAAAAATTATCAGTTTTCATTTGTATCTGTACAGAAAGTACTTGTACTACAATGACATTTTTATTTATAAAGATGAGTATTTTTTCGGGGGGGGGGGGTGGTCGGCACACCAATTTTGTGCTTGGGGCCCTGCACTACTAGCTTGCAACCCTCCTACTATTTACAAAAAACAAAAACAATTTGTATTAATTTTATCGTGTTATGTATTCAAATTAATGGTAAAATCAGAATTAACTGGTGATGCTGACTGCACCTAACAATAAGATGGGGAACACTTTGTACGGGCTGGAAGGAAGGAAGCATTGGCAAAAAAATTTCAGACTAATGCAACATGTCGTGGAGAATGCATGGGCGAGAGATAATTTTGGGCAACAATTTAATTGTATTCTAGAGTATACTATAGATTAGTTTTGAATAGTTTCTTCATAATCTAAGATTCAATTAATATACCATTGATGAAAATATATTTTCAATTAATGTAAACATGTATAAATCATAACTTTTTAATTTATTGATATCTTTAATCTAGTATATTAATAGTTAAATGTTTTTGTGTAAGACTGATGAAAATAACCATTTCAGAAAATTTGGAAGGAAAAAAAATCAGTGAAACATAATATTAAACTAAGACCCCTATGCCCATGTAACAAGTTTAACGCTTCCTCAACCCCCTCCACCATCTTTAGCATAACATAATTTATGGACAACCCCATAGTGTCAAACACTTCGATCTCATTTCATTAAAGACACTTTTATTATAGTGAATGAATCAACGACATCTGGGAGAATTTTCTCTTTTCGCAAAATGCAGAGATCAGCGAAGATAATCCACATTCTCAATTAGTAGGAAAACGATAGGATTGGTCAATGATCAGAATCTTTACTTTTCAAAAAAATGCAATCAGTCTTTTTGAGGCAACTCAAGCCGCCATGTTGTGCTTCATGCAGGCCAAGAACTGAGCCTGGAGGAATGAGCTAGGAAGAGAATAGCAGGTAAATAAGATTAAGACTTAATCAGATTTCTTAAATTATATATTTATTACTTTTTGTCATTTATTAAAATCTACACCTTAAGAAATCTATTTTGGACACATAATCCTATTTGAATGATCACAAAATTTTTATTCAATCATTAACAATTTTTGAAAATATTTAACATTATTTTATTATAATTAGATGTAATAGCTGCTTTTTTTCAGTTTAATGTTTTCATTCCTAAGTGAAAGATTCTCTGCAAATGGTTTGGTGATGATTTATTTTTGTTTTGTGTAAAGGTGTGACTATGAATCAAGTACCTTCTCAGTAAATTTTTGAATTGCCAAAACATTCTTCACCTTTAAGGGGGATGCCAAAAAAGCTATCTATTAAAACTGATATTTAGGGTATAACTTACAGACAAAACCCAAATATTTATTCTTACCAATGGCATACTTTTAAATGTGACTGATAATTTTACATTGGTAATATAACTTGCTTAGATAAATATATATCTTTGAAATATGACTATTTGTTATTTGAAATGACATTTTCTGACAAACTTAATAAAATGTTTACATATTTGCAGCAGTGCACCAGTGGAGGAGGAGCTCATGGAGCAATTGATCCCCTCTCACCCTAGAAGCCCATGACATGTTCACAATTTACTAAGTTTTTTCTAAGTTTCTATAGTAACAAAAGTCATTTAGTGTTGCAACTGAACACATTGGAAATAATTATAAATCAGCAAATAAACATAACTGGACAATGCACCTACCCTTCCTCCCCACAGAAAAATCCTGGTTGCACCGCTGCACGTTAGTAATACATTCACATCTGTTAAAATGTGTTGTTCTTATATTTCTGGATTAAAAGGGAAACAGTATTCAAGGATGTAAACTATTCATTTTCTGATGGAGTGGTAGGTCCAGTCCAATCAACAATTCGCTTGTTCCACCAGACGTAAGCCCCTCGAGGAGCAGTTACATTTGGTGGCAGGAGAGCACAGAACAGGGGAGCATCTGCACCTGTGTTGAAATAAATGTGATTGGAAAGAAAATTGAGAACTAGAATATACATAATTGTTGACAATTTGTAATTTTAGAAGATACATTCTAAATATTAATTTTTTTTATCTAACTACTCAAAAGAAAGGAGTTGTGATAATAATGGCAGATCTATACAAGTACTATTTTGTGCTCTTTCACAATATAATTGTCTTCAGAGTGAATTGACTTTGCTGCAGCATATGAATGTATTAAAATTTAGAAATAATTAGAAAGGGAAGGATGATAAAGTAAATAGACATTGTTTTTCTTTAGATTTACATTTTCATGGAAAGAAAATGTAACATGAACAAGAAAAATTGTCAATTTTTTGCTTCAATTAAACAACTGTTCCATTTTCAAATGCTGATTCTCCAAGTCATAAAAATAACTACTATCAAGGAGGACAAGTTGGAACAGTTGTGTAACTTGGGACATTTTGCAACTTTTTTTTAAATGATGGCTGTATCAGATGTGCTCAGGTGTTTAAGTCAAAAGCAGCACCAAAGTGTTTATGATGATTTACAGATGATATATAATTATCTTTTGGAATTTTTATTTGCAGGTGACTAACAAAACTAGTTAATGTAAGCTTCAACCTGAAAAACAACAATTGTAAAATGTTCCTTGAACAGTTTTAATAAGTTTTCTGCTTGTGCTTATTTGCATTCCACAACCTGAACTATTGTCCAGCATTCCCAATATCATGTTGTGTCAAAGTTACCTACCTAATTTTTTTCGCATGGAATGTTCCTATGCGTGACTATTTGCGGGTAAATTGGGACAGTGCCCCAAGTTACCCAACAATGCTATTTTATAGGAATGAAAGAATAAAAATATTAAATTTAATTTCATATGAATGAATATGAATTCAATGGGGAATGCGGGCAAAGGAAAAGGAAAAAAATAGCAACAATTTGACCAAGAGCAGATGGACAAAGCTCTGAATGAAGTGAGTGTTATCCAAGAAAAAAATGTGAACCCAGATGAGCTTAATCAAGAGTTAGAAGAACAAGTAGTCCAGAAATATAAGAAAGGTGCATGACCTTCCATGAAGCAGACGAAATCATTAGAAGAATCTACTGATGAACCGTCAAATCCTCAGTCCGAGACATTTCTTTACTCTTATTTGTGTAGATGTTGTCTTTGTATGAGATATAATTAAATATATTTATATTATTTTTTAATGGTTGATTTATTGATTTGCAAACATGCCTTTCTTTAAATTAACTTCATTTCCAAAATAAGTCATTTACCAGTAATTTTTTATAATAACATTTATCATTTACTTATGAATATCCGTTATACTCATTTCACAATATCTACAGTGTATAGATATTTGAACCTAATCATACATGTCATTTTAAACACAATTCAATTGTGTGTCCCAAGTTAGCCAACATGGGAGGGTAACTTGGGAAACAAAGTTTTGATTTTATTATACCTCACATATTCCATATTCAAAAAAATTAAGCACATTTACCTCAAATGCTGACTAAGCCTCTTTGACGGTACAACAGATTTGTTCCAAAAAACAAATGAGTAACTAAATTTGTTAAGAATGTAAAGGAAAATTCATATAGCAAGGTTTTAGCAAGGATATTTTATCTTCAGAGATAAATATTCACAATATGATTGGGAAGCCTTGGGAGTTAAACATTAACATTTTGTTCATTTGAGTATCAGGTGCATAATAATGACTATTATTGTATAGTACAGCTGTTGTTCAGGTTCAGGAAAAAAATAATAGTTTTTCAAATTTTTTATTTTATTTTATTTTGAAAGGTGTATATATTTAATATACATACCTTGCTCAGGTGTTAATAGTCCAGTGTGACTACTCATGTCTGTTATAACCCATCCTGGGTGCACAGCATTTACTACAATGTCCTCTCGAGAATCATTATTAAATGCTTTTTGTTGGATAAATGATAAAGCACTGACTCCTACTTTGGAGACTGCATATGTACTGTTTGGCCAGCCTGCTTTAGAATGAGTTCCGTCTTTGGCTGCCCTGAAGTAATAAGTCCATTTTATTGATTTGCCCCAATTTCTTTTTAACATTTATTTAAATTGTTTAACCCTTGCCACCAGAAAAGTACTCTTTCACATCCTTTTTCAATATCCATTTGTAAAGATGAATAATTGAAGATGAAAATCATACTAAAACAAACCAGATTTATCTATTTTGTCATTTGATTGGAATTAGACATTTAATTTTCATTAATTTTTTGCACAAAGATATATAAGGTCTACTATTTAAATATGAAACTTACACTAGTTATGAGAACTTTACCTGACAAATGACTGAATGATTTCTGTCAGCTGTGTTTCAGTGAGTGATGGACTGCTCAATTGAGCTCGCAGCTCCTTACTTGGGATTTTACTTAAGTGACCTAAACTACTTGAGAGGTTCACAACCCGGGCATGAGGTCGCAGAAGTGGAAAGAGTGTGTTACAGGTTGCCACCAGTCGTATGTAATTGGTGTGGATTGTCTGTTCTGCTTGAACTCCAAATGGTGTAGGATCATCATTCTGCAAATCATTAAATATTTGGAATTGTGCTCTTAGATGCTGATATACAATAGATCAGTTCTTGTTTGCAGTTTCTTTTCTGGAATCAATATCTTTCTCTAGAAAGAATTCAGAAAATTTCAACTGCCTTTCAATCTCTGAAATTTCAAATCCTACATTGTAGTTCAAATATGTAAAATAACCTATAGCTATGATGAACAATAAGTTTTATACTAGCCCTTTGTGATTTCCATAAACATATCTAATAATATTGCAAATGTTAGCTCTATAGGTACCCATCTTAATTGAAACACTGAATAAAACTCATGATTATAAATCAACAATTTGCTATCATATAGACAGAAAGAATTATTTCATAAAATTAGTTAAAATTTCATAAAGAAAGTTTCATAAAATTATAAACTTAAATTTTGATAAGTATTAAATGTCTGAACTTTATAAAATAGTAAATAAATTGATGAAAAAAAATATTTGAAAATTGTAATTGAATGTGTGAATGAGTATATGTACACAATGTATAAACTCAGGTCAAGTACACTACTTCAAACATGTGCACTTTTGAAATTCATTTCTTCCAGTATTATGTTATGAGGATAGATTTTATTATTATTATTATTATTATTATTATTATTATTATTATTATTATTATTATTATTATTATTTAGATTTGAGTTTCAATTTTAAAAATTGATATGTAAAGTTTTATTACACCCACTAATTGATATATTAAAGATACTCTGAATTGAGACAAGATGAAATGTCAACAATTTGTTTGAATAATGACTCACCTTGAATGCTATGGCTGCATTGTTAACCAAAACATCTAAACCATTATAATGTTCTTCAATGTATCTTTTGAAAACATCTAAACTTTCTTGACTGCCTATGTCAAGCTGGTGGAATTTTACATTCAGGCCTTCCTGTGGATTAATTTCAAGAAAATAAAAAATCAGCACAATAAAATTATTCAAAGATTATAATCATTTTCACATAGTTATATTTTAAGATAGAACTCTACTGAATGAATAGTAAGTTTACTAATTGAATATTGCAAATATTGCAATATTGAATATTTGCAAATTGAATTGAAATTCTTATTTACAAACCCCCATACATTTGTAAGAGGAGATGAAATTCATTAAAAAATCAAGAACAAGGGAAAAAAATATTTATTAAATTATTTCTCATCTATTTTATATATTTTGTACTTACTACTTATATATTTTTTCACTTATTCTTGATTTTTTAATGAATTTCATCTCTGATTTCTGTGTAATTTTTCTTTTTAATTCTTTTATTTTATTCACTATCTTCAAAATTTATTTCTTTTTTTATTTTCAAATGTAAACATATCAATTATATATTTTTGTATACACCTCAAGATGCCTGTAAGTTTCATGTGAAATGTTGCTTTGGACAGTAAAGACTTTTTTGAAGAAAAACATTTTCATTTATTGTCAAAAAACAAAATTTACTTGTGTTTAATGATTAATGTTTTGAGTTCAAATCTCTTAAAACAGTTAACTAATAAATGAATTTCTTAATGCATATAGCATATTAACCAGTGGCATCTGATAACTTCAAAAGATGGTGGTTCACAACGATATGTGGAGGTATGGCCTTGACCTAATTGTCAGTCAACAAACCGAGTCGTCCGCGATTTAACCCGCGACTCTCCCATGATTTAACTGATAGCGCTCCCCCCTCTAGACAGAGCACGTGAAAAATGTTAGGTTTTATTTTTTTTGTGATGCTTGTATAACTATTGAAATGCATATATTTTCAATGTAAATCTTATTGTCAAAAAGACTTTGGAATAATTTACTATCCATGAGCAATAAAATATAATAACTTGTCTTAGAACCTGATAAGCGGCAACCTCTGATGACCGAACTCTCTCGAATTTTTAGGTGCCTATACATTGACGTCCTAAGTCCAAAACTAGAAGCAAGTAGTGGTAATAAGCAGCAAGTAATGTTTACTTACAATGTAAATATTTGGAAACTTTGAGCAAGTCGAATCAGAAGCTTGATTAAATATTTTCACTGGTTCAATGATTTCTACAAATCCGAATACATCTCTGAACTGCTGTGCCACAAATACAAAGAGCGACTTTTTCGTTCTGTCAATAACATGATCAAAAATTTGTTTTATGCTCATGAAACAAGGACGCATGAAGATTCAAGTTTTACAATCAGTGATCTTCGCTTTTTGAAGTCTCAAGATAAGATTATTTTTGAAACGAAATAAATTCAGAATGTAGAGGCGATTTCTCCGAAAAAGTTCAATAATATAATAACGAAAAGTGAAATCATGAGAGCTCATGAACCGATTTCAATGATCTCCAGCAGACTCAGATTTAGTATGAAACTAGAAGAAATAGATTAAGAAAATCATGAAAGTGGGAGAGTAAAAGAAAATGGAAAATTCAGGTTTATTTGGAGCTTTCGCTTCTTACATGCATAGGATAAGAAATATGAAGAAAACAAGTAGGTTAATTTACTTCATCGTAACATAATTTATAAGCATCGAGGATGACAAGAATACATTTTGTCATTCATGAAAAATTTTTAAATGCTGTGTTTTCCAGATGAAGCTATGCAAGCAACTAAAGACGAGGAAGCGAAAAATTACGTAACTTTCTATATGTAAGAATGCACAGTCATCACTCAATGACTCGAATGTTTGCAATTTATTTATCTTGCTTGGCTTACTTGCAGATGTTTAGAATGTAGCGGAATTTTGCGATATCATGACGTTAAGCATAAGCGTGAGAACAGGGTGG